GAGCCGTATGGCCACCACATGTGCTCTGTATTGTACACACCTGTGGCATCACCACCAAATCAGTAGTGATGACGAGGCCCCCGAGTGTCAGCATACCACGATTGTTGACAGTCATCGCAAGTGTGGTTGTTGTGCTTCAAGCGCGTCCTTGCATATGCGCAAGATTGCTGTTGGCGAAGCATCCTCTCAATCCTAGTGCATGGCTTGCCGCAATCACACGGTCACATAGTTTGCACCTGCTCTGGGGGTGGAGGTGGTGGTGGAGGAAGTAGACCATGGCTGTCCGGGGTATCTGCCATGCATACCTGCCTAGCATCAGCACGCTTGGCAGCATTCACCAAAGTCTAAGCAGTGAACTTCGGTGCTTTATTCGGCCCATGAGACGCCTGTGATCCTGACTCACTTGTTGTGCTTCTTGATGCAGGGCCTGTTATGAACTTGTCAAAGAGCTTTCCATAGTCTGGCTTCTCCGGCTCCGGCCGGACGCTCCAAGTATACACACCAGAGCTGCCCGCCGGCGCCGGATCCTCTTCGGAGGAGCTGGGTTCACTCTTGTCGCCGTGCTTGTCACGCTGGTTGTGAGCATGCTTGCCATGATGCTTCTGTGATGACGTAGGTGGTTGCATCTCTTCATCCTCGGATTTTGTCTTGCCAGGCTTCGTGTCATCCGGAGCTGCCTCTTTAGGATGGTCTGCATGATCACACTGCTCCTGTTCAGGCTGCTTTGCATGGCCATGCGGCTCCTGTTCACACGGCTTTGCGTTGTCATGCTGCTGTTCAGGCCGGTGTGAATGGCTTTGCTCACCACCTTGAGGCTCTGAGTTGACATCAGGAGTAGGACTAGCAGCTTTAGCTGTTGCCGCCGCTGTGTCCTCAGCCTTTGTCCTCTCCGCTGTGGCTGCCTCATGATCTTGCGCAACCTTCAAGCGCTTTCCGGCATCATTCAATTTCCATTCAGCATACTGGAATTCTTCTGAATTGTACTTCCCGAACCAACACCTTCAACTCGCGAACCTCCAGCGACATGATCACCGACGTGAACCCTGCTAGGGCATTCAGGCTTGGTCCACCAAAATTGCTAGATGCAGACAGCACACTGTTGGATGATTGTAGCATGCGGAACTCTACCACTGATGTGTCATGCACATGCTCGGAATATAACCCTCACACATGTCAAATCCAATCTTGTTCAACAATGGTGCTTGGCTGAGGCACAAACGGGTGTGTCTTCGTAGAGATCTCCAGCTTCGACCTCAGGCGCGGGGACTATACGATGTAACTGTAAACAAACCTGGTAACAACATCATGTAACAACATGTTGGTGGTTGCTCAGGTTCCAGCATCAACAACGCTACCCATTCTATGAAAACACGCGTTGATAGAAGGACACTGTTTGAGCACTTGTGTTGAAACATTCATCAAACATGACAAGTCATGGCTGTGAGTCCTTGTGTGGTTTGCAAGAACTTCCAACATGTCGCCAAGCAAGTAGGTGCAAAGTTTGAGTGACGGCAAGCGTAGTGTCCAAGCACGTTCAATGCTAGTTTGCAATGCACATGTTGTCAAACGGTTTTAGCAATGTTGCATGGTTTTTGCATGTTGCGCAATGAGCCTTTGCTCTTTTGAGGCACCGGCGGAGAAGTCCTACGCCAACATCAGCCATTGGGTCTGCTTTGCAGCAGATCCCGACAACTGCTAATTTAGTGTAATTAGTGTTCTATTCAACGAATTTCAACCAATTTGCATTTAACAAGCATCTAACTTGTCAACAAACACCCCTGTTCAACGGTATCAAGCAAAGGTTTCAAGCTCGACACAGCAAATTGGCCGCAAAATTGGCAATTTCAGGAACAACTATGTTGTCCATAGACGTCAACTGCTCCCGCTCCCTAGAAGTCAAAGCATCTTGGATCCACTTGTGAGTGGCTGGAATGGTTCTTGGCTGCCACGGCTTTGCAGGATACGAGCGGATTTCCTTCTCACTGAGCAAGTTGTTCGGATCCTGGCGGTAGTGCCCACAGGCAAGAATAGCGGACATAACTCGACACAACCAATCTAAAAGCCAAATGGGTAAACTGTCTCACAAGTACAAGCCTTGACAAAGTTGAAACCACCCCTTGTCGCCAAGAAAAAGACCCGCTTCCGCCATGTCTGGCAAACATTGGCAAACCATACCCACACATAATCAAGAAGACAACGCAAGAAACAGAACAACGTTGTGAAATGAGCAAAGAAGTTGGTTGAGTATTGGACCGGAGCACCAATGTCGCGACCCGAAACGCAGCACCATTTGACTTGAAAACCACGACGTTCCAGCTCCTGCTGGACAAGTGCAAGACACGACGTGCGTGTTGCGTGGCTGCACTATGTTTCACTGACAGTTGGGAAACAAGACGATCGATCCTCTAGAATGTAGGGCATGAAAGGAACCATGTCTGCCCTGAGAAGACTAAATACACTCTCCAGGAAGATCCATCGCCTCAATACTCAATCAATCAAAACAAGAACATCCGTGAATGTAGTTGGTCCCAGCGCATGCAAGTCACCTCTACCTGCTCAAAGACTTCTCCTAGAGATGAACGCGCCCCTGAAAGGCCTTGCATCAAAACTGCTCCGCAAACATCCTTAGAGAAACAACATTGGTGAACGTGGTGTTGTGGCAAGATGTAGCAAGTTGGTGCTTGACAAGATAATGGTGTCAGCATGTAGTTGTACCAGTTAAGAATCCTGGCATGGAAAACCAGCAATCAGGCCAGTGCAGGTGGCCCTCATGTCGACGGTCGGACGGAAAGCCCACACATCTGTGTACACGGGCACGTTGGGTAGAGAACCATCTGCAATTCTTTGGCCCAAAACTTCTCTGCAGTGTGGGTTGTTTTCGACCTGCGGTTCGAAGCAGTGAAGGTCAACAGCGACCAAACAACATAGAACCTGGACAGTGTGTGGTAACATGACGCAGAGTCTCATCTAAGGGCGATTCGAAGCACAAGGGCTCACAGAACCTTGACTACAGAGCAGCTAACAATACACATAGTAAAAAGTAATGCTCTACAGACAAGCGCACACCTGTTTCAACCTCAACCTCCAAGATCTCTACGCAGACAGGCCCAAGTCAAGGCCACCAACGCCAGAAAACATTGAAATGCACTTGTGCTGCGCAACCTTATGCAAACAAGACTGCCTTCAAAAGTATGTTTCACAGGCAACTAAGTACATGACTGGGGCGCCCTTCCAAGGGCATGCACGCAGTACATCTTGATGAGTCACCGTAGTGAAAGGAGAAGTCCATCCACGAGGGAGCCCTCACGATACTTAAAACGATTTGACCTTGAGCCCTGTAGTGGAGTGAGTGTCGCAGCATGTGAACAACATTGGTGGCCTGATAAGTGCTCCGCCATTTCAATGGATAGATACTTGCCTTTCTGGAGCTGTTCCATTTGGCATGCCAATGCCTGTGTGTACGAGGTTGAATGGTACAGTTGCGTAGCCAGATCCTGTGCAAAACAAAATTGATGCTAACTTAACCAAGTGCTGCTTACAAGCATTTAATGCTGAACGTATACAACCAAGTCCTGCTTTCCCCGGATGATGTATTGCGTGGTTGCCGTGTAAGTTGATGAAAAGCACCCTGCATGATTAAAACCGGTGAGCAATACTTACAACATCGTAACATCATGTCAACAAAGTAAGCGCTAGAAGTCCAGTCTACATGGTATACAGTATACAATCTGCACCCTAAGCACCCTACTCAAGCAACCCGTGGTCTGCAAGACAAACTTTCCGCACTGGTGCTCCACATTGCCTTGAGACTTTGGCTTTCGCGGAGGAACCTAGGCCAATTGGGCGTGTTGTTTCACCAAGGTGTCACACCTAGGGCCAACAAGGTCAAACAACTTAGTTACAGTGCTTGTTGTGTTGTTGCACTGCTGTAACGTTATGTGAGTGCTTCAACATGCGTTGTGCTGTTACAGTAGTTGTTACAGTGCTGTAACGTGTTGGGTCCTGCAAGTTAGTTAAGTGCTGCAAACGAGTTCCAACTACAAGCAGTGCATGACAAGTCACAACTTCCAGCCGGAGCTTGGCTCGTGCAACCTGTGGAAATCCAAGCGGCTTCCATCGAGAGCACTGTCCCTGAACAAAGCGGCCAAACTGAGGGTATCGGGTTGCATCCTTCTTTAGGATTGATCCCTTGTTCACCTTCTTCATCGAATTGGTCACTTGCTCCACTTCTGGTCTTAGCGTGCGCAACAGTGTGGACACAACAGTTGTGAGCAACATCACAACAAGGAAGTTTGCTTGCTTCACACCCACACACACCAAGTAAGACACAGACTAGCTCAGCTGATCCACGTTCACAAAGGCACAAAGGACATGTGTAGTGGAGACAAAGCTGATCCGAAATGGCTTTGAGGCACTTTGAGGCTCGATATTCAGCAAGCAACAACCATCAACAACCTAACAAGTTAGTTCCGTATGCAAAGATTTTTTGGAACCCTGGTTGTAAACTGGAACCCTGGTTAGCTGGCAAAAAACTTATGTTTATGAGATGGACCAGGCAGACTACCCATCGAGAACGTCGTTGGTTGCGGGGCGGTCTCTATTTATTTGTCCTTTTGTAAGAACCACCTCACCATATGACCATATATGAACCATATGGATGGCAGAATGTTTTGTTCTTTGAACGGAGAGTCTAAACTTGCAGAATACGATACGAGTTTGTTCTTCAGTGTCTCCCAGGTCACAGACTGGTACCTATCAAACCTATCGACAGCTTCACGAGGCAACGAATCTGAGACACCCAAACCCAAGCACTATTGGACCATGTCCACGTGCCTTGTTCGGGAAGCAAGCCAGCGTATAGCGTCGAGACAAGCGTCGTGTGACATCATGGTTGTGGCGAGGAGCGTCCCTAGTAGCGTCCTTGCTCCCAGGCCAGGAGCCCCGTTCGTAGCGTGCTCCACGCATGTGATTCTCCGTGAAGAAAAGATCGGACCTGGCAGGCTTCGCCCGGAACGAAGACAACTAAGCATGGCCACCGGGATGCGGTTCCTCCGTGCATGGCACCATGCGGGAAAACGGCATGGTGCTTGCTGAGAACATCGCGAAGTCAGAGAGCTGCAGGGGATTGCGGGGGTTGTCATGACTCAACTACGAGCAGTCTCTTCAAGACAGGAAGGACATCATGGAGAGCATCGGGCCTCAACATTAATTTTGTAGGAGCTGGGGGATAGGGTTTTCCTTTCTGGATTCTTGAGTGGATGAGTACCTAGACCCTTTATTAGTAACCTCCCCAATTGGATTGCAAAAACCTCTTCATAATATGTTTTTTTGACTCACAATTTAAAATCAAGAGTCCGGAAGGTACCACCCATTTCGTGGCATATCCAGAATCAAAGGAGTGGGGCCAGCTTCGTAGCGGATTCCAAAAGCATCGGGGCAGATTGCCAGCAACGATGTCAAGCCACAGTTTTGGGCCGGTTCAGCTCTTTCTTTTACACGCCCATCCAACGGCATTCGCCAGGCCTCATCAGCATGTCCTGCATTCGTTGGTATGGACTTCGACCGACTGAAGGGTCACGTATTTGGAGCCCTCCACCCTAGCAGCGATGGCCTCCAACCTACTAAAGCCATACCCGTAATGCCTGAACATTCTTTAACCTTTAGGTTATGGTCTAAATAAGCCATAGTAGGGTAAGCTTAATAGGGTATGACCTGAACATTCAGCTAAGGTCTCTTAAGGAACATTCTCCCCACCTCCCAGCAGTGCCCAGCAGTGCCCAGTGCGCAGCTCCCGTTTTCACCGCCGGATCCCGTCACGTCCGATCCTGCGGTCCCGTTCCGACAGACCCATCTGATCCGCGCCGAGCATCCGAGCACGGCGAAAACGGCGGTTCACCGGGTCGGTGGGGTCCGGGGGTCGCGGGTCGCGAGTTGGAGGGGGAGGGGCATGGTTTTCGTTTCAACGAAGTGACGCATTCTTGCGGGAACACACAGTTCAGGTGAGAAGAACATTGGCAATTTACACTTAAAAACGCTGGTACAAAAAAGTAATCCTCGAAAATTTAATCAAAATCCTTCAATCCCGAGTACCTATTTAAAAACGGACCCTAATTAAAAACAAGTCATGTCGGATCCCCCTACTAAGGATTTTATAAGAAAATCCTGGACTACTTTTTTGTTTTGAAACTCTTTCCAGGTGACCCTATTTTGGACCCCCTGATTTCAGGGACCCTCTATTAGAAAAAATGCGACCGAGGTTTCCTTATTAGGGCGGGGGGGGGCCTCGTGTTTTTGAATAGGTGGAAGGGATTATTAAACTCGTATCAAAAATGCAAAAAAAACCTCCAGATCGAAGGGTCTTCCTTTTCCCCTACAAAAATCTTCATTAGAATTGATTCTTCAGTAGACTAACAGCCAAAGCTTTCGAAAGGTGATGTCGCCGTGCCATGCGGTGTTGCATGACCTCGGTGGCAAGTGCGTTTGCGTGAGTCCGTGCCATTGGGGGAAGGAAAGCCTGCTGGTGTAAGCGTGGCGTGTCATGGTGGATAGACAGGGCGGACAGAGGTGGGCAGTTACGGTTGTTTTTGGAACCTAACAAGAAAAAACCCCTCCCAAATCGGCCATGTTGGTAATTTGGTAGTCTAGTAGCGGCTTGAAAGGACGGTAAGGGGATCCGACATGACTTTTTTTTAATTAGGGTCCGTTTTCAAATAAGTATTCGGGACTATACGCATACTATCGTTTACAAATTGGTGATTGGCCCTGTGCAGTCCACCAAACATGCACGGCTAAAGACATGGCTGTTGACCCAGTGGGAATCCAACGAGGTAAAGCCAGTCGTCTTGCGTTTGCATGTCTGAAGAGACACGAAGACCGTGGCCCCGTAGACTGGACCTGTATGTCGAGGTTTATTGAGAATTCAGGGGCCACAACACTTCTTTCTCTGCCTTAGCCTCCTCTTCATCCCATTTATGGCTATCAATTTCCTGGAAAGATCCAAAACCATCCAAAACCAACGATCTGGTATGTCGGAGCTGCTTCCAGGTATGTCGGAGCTGCTTCACTGTAAAGCCTGTGGAGAAGCTGCTTCTGGGCAGAAAACCCCCGCCCGCCCTCCGGGCCAAAAAGGGGTGGGGTGAAAAAGGGTGGTGACTTCGTTGTGTTTGTTGATGAAGAAGACTCATCCCTTCGCTCCAACTAAATCGGCCAGGCTGGAGTGGCTGGAGAGGTGAAAAGACCTATATAGATTACTGTACCACCTCCAACAGGTCACCAATTGAAACCTGTAGGGCCTAACAATCCTCCATTTCGGAGACCTGTTGGGTTCGGTGCTGGTAGATCATCCGGTCGTATGTTTTGTCGCCCGGAGGATCCCAGATGGGCTCCTGGCCCACCTCCGCTTCGTTTCGCTTCGTTCCATCCGGTGGGACTGGGGTGGGGTGCTGAAGATGGGTTCTGTTCCTACCTTCGATGAAGGAAGAGATCGTTCTAATCCATGGCCTCAACGGTGAAGGGAAGTCCAAAACACCAGCGGCTCCGTGCCTTTCTTCCATACATGAGCAGCTCACTGAGCAAGTAGAAACATGTAGAATCGTGGTGAAGGCGTGGCATTCTGGTCATAACCTGAAGCAGTTTTGTTTTTTTCAATTGTGTTCCTTTTTGTGCGACAGTGGTTGAGACCTCGCAATTGGGAAGCAAGAAGAACCCCCCCGGACAGGCCGGAGCGGTTTCCGGCAACGAACCAAAAACAGCCAGGCGACGTAGCCAGGCCCATCCAGGTGGACGATCGATCGGCCCTGGCAGGCCCTGTGGTTGTCCTCGTTGTCCATGCCTGGTCCCTCCATCCATGTCCATCCTGAGTGAGAAATTCCGTTTAACGTTCATGCGAGGCGTAGAGTCCGACACTGAACACGCTATCCGAGAAAGACATCATCGTTGTCCTATATTCAAGAGTGATGGTCAACACCGCTGACGAGGTGGACATCGGGCAACTCTCGAAATTGATAGATGATTCATAGAAGTCTCGCACAAATGAAGCAAAACTTCGTTTTGACCATACCTATAAAGACTTCCAATCAACTTGGTCTTGAAGTGTTGTTTGTGCCCTTTACCTTAAGATATGCCGAAACCTGACCTTGTTTATGTATAAGTAAGACAGGAGGCCACCGGCTCACTAGGAACAAGTTACAAGGATTCAGTCTTTTCATGTCTTTTCTATGCATATGTTGCTTCCCAGCTGAAAAGTGGCGCAGGTTTGTTGATCTCTACTACTAGAGTGTTCCAAGCTTGGACGATGCCTCAACAGGAGACCTTTAAAGGCTATTGTTTGGGGAAAGTATGCTGAATGCCACTGAAGCCAAAACCCTCAGCAATCGCTCAAGTTGAAGGGCCCAAGAAAAGCATAGTTTCTTTTTGGACCAGGCAAGAATTCAATCAGTGGAAGCGTGCAAGAAGAACACAAACCACAGTGGAATAGCACAAAACATGTGATTGCACTTACATATTATATATATATATTTATACACGGTTATATTCACTCATCTGTGGAACAATTATAAACACTTCATACTCGAATGTTTTATGTCGATGCCAAGTCACCGGTAAATCGTCGGTCACTGCGTCACCGTGTCACCGTGAGGTGCAGAGGCCGCAGCCGAAGTAGCGAAGACACGATGGCGGCCCTTTTCGACAACGTGGGGGCAACCTCAGAAGACTCGAAAAGACGCACGAAAACACTATTGTAATATCATATGGTATACTATACCACGTTGCCACTGACCTAGCTCGGACTGTCATGATGAGCCTGATAGGAAAGTCAAGCCGCCAAGGGCCTCATGGACACCCTACTTCCTTCCAGTCCTTTCATGAGGTTGAACACAGAAGGCCCTCAGTGTTAGAACGTCTTTAACGACCCAACGCCCCAAAGAGAGGAAATCCATTGGAATCCACCCCCGAGGTCGACAGACTGCTTAGTCGGGGTCGTAGTCAGATGTATTCAGGATGTAGGTATTGACGAGCTCTCCTTACGACACGCGTAAAGGAAAAACGACCGTGGTCCATTCAATTCACTCCATATTCTTTGATCATGAACCATCTCTGTATAGTCGTTGAAACACACAAAAGACATAATGAGAGAGAGAGCTTGAACTCCTGGACGAATCTCCGACGCTCCCAGCGACGCCGTCATCCACCGCTGTCACCCCCGATGTCGGGATCGTCAGGTGCGCACGAATCCCCGCTACGACCGAGAGGTCATTCACCGCTTACCAAGGCAACGGGGTGATCGGCTCGATGATTCGGGTGGAGAAGATAGGAGAAGGTTGGAGGAATTAGAAGGGTGGAGGAACCATGCAACCACTGTACCACATTGTACCACCAGATGAGGCATTTTTTTGGTTCACTCCTTTTTGGTGCAAGGTGCTTGCTACCTATAGTGGCCTTCTCATGTTTCCCATTCATGGGTTTTGAAGATTTGGCCACAATGACTCAGTGGAGTGTGTGTTGGACGAGACCAGTTCGTCAATTGGTTCAATCGATCAGATCTGATCAGACTTCCATGTTCGTCGGAGTGTAGCACGTCTCACACACTTCCTGAACGTCACGTTGTCGGGCTTCCCCCTCAGGATCCACCGCCACCTCCATCAAAAACTACGACTGGGCCCGACCCCTGGCGCCTACATCTGGTACTAGTCTCCCTGCTCACCTCTTCTCAGCTGCCGGTGGATCTGGACCCCCAAAACGGTCGCAGCACCGTCGGGCTGTGGGCACCACGGGTGGACGGCGCAACGGCGCAGGTCGATGCGAAGTCGGCTGCGCCCTCTGCTGGACTCTGGGTGCCTGGTACTGTGGGGCCGCCCCAGAGACGGCAGTGCCTGGGAAGCGCCCCAGAGACGGCCTGCAGGGTGGAGAAAACTGCTTGCTAGATTTCAGGGAGACTGGTCAGGCCGGATGAGCTAGGGCAAGAGTTGAGAACCACTTGCAGACGGTCAAACAAAATCACACGATTTCATGCACTAGTTTGGCCTTCAGAAAGAATCAAGAGTCACAGGCTCTGTCTATCATTGTCTATTTGTTTTCACTCGGAGCTTAGGGGGGGGCGAATGGTTTTCACGCATGAATTCCGTTTTCATGTTCAGCTCCAGCAGCTCCAGCACATTAAATTTTCTCAACTGGTCCTGCCACCAGATGTGAATACTGTAGATATCTGTAGATCATTTTGCGCATTCATCCATCACAATTTCATGTGTCGGTTACATGGGAACATCAGCAGGTGACTTTGTTGCCTGAAGATCTTTGCCCCTCCCTTAGCTGGCACCCAAATAGACGGGGGGTTTTGCCCGGTTGCCATGACCCCATGGGTTGTGATGTTACCCATCATTGCCACCGTAGGCCAATACCCTATACTTGAAAGTGAGAAAAACAGTACCCTCAAAATAACAGTCAAGGGAGGGTCATCCGACGGTCATTTGGGGCACAGCAGACTCGCTTGGATGCCGATGGAGACAGTCCGTCCGAGCCAGAAGCCTTTTAAAAAGAAAGGGTCCTTTGGTTCTAGGTTAGTATAGCCAGTATAGCCAAGAGCAGTTTGATCGTTTATACCCAAACACTCGGTCTTTGCTTGGCGAAATATCGCCTACAGCTTCTACTCCAGGCTGAGCCTCCCGGTTTGGGGCGCTCCATGCTGAGCGCTTCGTCGTCGCACGACGACCGTTCGTCTTCCGTGAGTCGCTGGGACTGTCGACCCGGCGAGGCAAACGCCTCAGAGGGCTCGGGATGAAGCAGCAGCGCCTTGGAGCGCCACGCGCCCGTCGCTGCGTCGCTGCGTCGTCGACTGGAGTCGACCGAGTTCCAGGTGCGAGTGGAAAACGA